AAAAAAAAAAAAAAAAAAAAGGCCTGGATTGGGGACAGGCGGCAGGAAAGAATCTCCCAGCGGCTGCTCCTCCTCTCCAGCTGGCGGAGGGGAGGCCCGAGGCTTCAAGGTGAGGCTGAGAGAGGCCACCTCACTTCCGGAGGAAGCATCATCCCGATCAGCCAGAAAATCAGTAGCAAAACAAGCCAACGAGTTAGGCTGTATCGTCCATTTCTTTGGTGCCCATATCCCTGCCCCAGTCACCAGTATGATGACATTCTACATTTAAAATTAAATGAACACCAGCAACTACTCATGGATTCCCAAAGAGGCCCATGCTGAGAATTACAGAGAGAATGTTAAGTCCTCACATTTTTTCCGGATCTTAACAGTAACGTACTCCTTGTGGTCCGTCTCGCCAGCATCGCCTGACATGGCCACACAGCTCGGTACCACCTGAAGTAATTCCATTATTTTTGAATTCTACAATTTGAAAGGGAAAAGGTTACAGGAACAGTTTTCATTCTTAGCAGGTTCTTGCTTGTTTTTGATGTAACTGTCCATATTGGTGCGGCCGGACAGAGAAGCAAGGAGCAGCCACAGACGGGACTGTGACGCCACGGAGCCTCGTGCTTCCGGGCAGCCCAGCGCTCGGAGCCCGGCTCCTCCTCTCCCAGGTACTGCTGCTCCGTGCGCTGGGTTGCCCATCACGGGCTCTGTTATTGCACAGTTATCATGAGGTCATGGACGGCCCAGCACATAGTGACTACGAGATAAAAAACACTCATCCTTGTCATCATCGGAGAAAGTGCTAACTGAAGGTTTAAAATATTTCAATTCCAGGGGTGCCTGGGTGGCTCAGTTGGCTGAGTGGCCAAATTCTGATTTTGGCTCAGGTCATGATCCCAGGGTTGTGGGACTGAACCGCACATCAGACTCCGCACTGAGTGTGGAGCCTATTGGGGAGGCTCTCTCTCCCTCTGCCTCCCTCCCCTGCTTGCTCACTCTCGCTCTCTGTCTCTCTCTCTAAAATAAAAATAAATAATAAATAACAAATAAAATAAAATGTTTCAATTCTGTTAAGAAATGCCACTGAAAATTAATACGATAAGCCCATGAGTACGTTGGGTTTATAGTGACTTTTATGCGACACCAGATTCATTTAACAGCCTACTGGCTGTCTACCCAGAGTCAAAAATGAAAAGATTCAACAGGAAAACAGGAATAGACAGCTTGCTTCTCCTAGGAGAGGAGAAGAAGCCTTTTCCTCGCCACTGCCCCGTGCCAACACCCACGGCACTGGAAGGAGGGGTGAAGTGGTCCCCACAGTTCCCCTCGCACCACTCAAAGAGTCTTAGAACCGCCAATTGACCAAACTTTCTCCATGGTGCCGTGAAGACCACTGCAGGCAGGGTGAGCCCAAACTTCCCTGTGAGCACGTGATGGCTTGTCCCCGGGCCACCCCAGGGCACTGACACCCGCAGTTGCTGGGGGAAGCACCTCTACTCAGCCCATGGAAAGTGAGCCCTGAAGGACTGACTCCCAGCTCCCCAGGCAGAACCGGACGGACACCTGACCAGAGGACCAAGGACCAAACATCTGACCACACTGGCCATCTTCTGGCACAGCCACCCAGCCCAGCACGGCAATTTCAAGGTCAGCTATAGCTATTTCAGGTGCGGTGTAACCACAGGGGATCCAGAGGGAGCTGCGAGGGGGCCCCCCGCTCACCTGTTCAGCACAGTCTAGAGCTGTGCACTGCCTCTTGTTCAAGACCTGAACCGATGCCCCGTGAAGGAGAAGCAGCTCCACCACAAAGACGTGCTTTTCAATCACAGCTTCATGCAGCGCCGTGTTGCCCTTGTTGTTACAGACGTTAATGGAGGCCCCGTGCTGGAAGGAGAGACGGTGCGGTCGAAAGGAAGGGCAGACCACAGTGACGCAGACTCCAGGCGACGCGAAGCCCGCCCCGGACCGGGATCGGCAGCTCACCTGTAACAGCAGCGCCGCGACTTCGTGGTGGCCGTTGGAACAGGCGTAAATGAGCGGTGTGTTTCCACTTATGTCCTTTTTATTGGGTTTTGCGTTAGAATCCAAGAGATACTTCACCACCTAGCCCAGAGAAGGCAAATTTTTCAACCGTAATTAAATTTGTGGAGAGAGATCCTGTAACTTGATATCCTTTGGACTTTAAGTGTATTTAGAAGGCTCTTCCCACACGTGTCTGACTCTTGGGAGGGGACAGACCAACGGAAGTGGGGTCTCCTCTGCCCGGCAATGTGCTAGGCGCGATTTTTCCCATTTCATGGTTAGACCCACCCTATGGAGGGCCGAATTATTACCCCAGTCTTAAGAGATTAGGAAACTGATGTTTGGAGTGCTATGCTAGGTGCTACGAGAGACATGGAAGGCCTGAGGTAGTTCCTGTCTTTTATTCTTTATTTTTACGCTTTTTTTTTTTTTTTAAGTAGGCTCCACGCCCAACATGGAGCTTGAACTCACAACCCCGGGATCAAGAGTCGGAAGTGCCACTGACTGAGCCAGGCGGGCACCCCTATTTATTTTTTGTTATCTTTTTAAGTAAGCTCTATACCCAATATGGGGCTTGAACTCACAGCCCTAAATGAGCCAGCCAGGTGCCCCTGATTCCTGGCCTTTAAAAGCTTACAGGGGCGCCTGGGTGGCTCAGTCAGTTAAGCACCTGACGCAGGATCAGGTCATGATCTCACGGTTCATGGGTTCAAGCCCCGCGTCAGGCTCTGTGCTGACAGTGCAGAGCCTGGAGCCTGCTTTGGGTTCTGTGTGTCCCTCTCTCTCTGCCTTTCCCCTGCTCGTGCTCTGTCTCTGTCTCTCTCAAAAATAATGATTAAAAAAAGAATAATTAAAAAAATAAAAGCTTATTTTATTTAAGTGGAGCTAGGGTCCCGGGGTGACTCACTTGGGTGAGTGATCTCACAGTCCATGAGATTGAGCCCCACAACAGGCCCTGTGCTGACAGTGTGGAGCCTGCTTGGGATTCTCTCCCTCTCTCTGCCCCTTCCCCGCTTGCGTACTCTCTCTCTCTCTCAAAATAAATAAATGAACTTTTTTTAAAAAATTAAAAAATTAAAATCTTAGAGTAGAGCTCACAGGGAGACTTTTTTTTGTTTTTAAATAGATAATTCTCAAAAAGAAATACAGGACTTTGAAAAAGTCAAGCATTTCACAATGGTCTCCTGCACCTCCTCCATAGGGCCATTCTCTGTAAAGTACTAAGCTGCTGACACAGACCACGGGCTGTGGGGGTGAAAGGTGCTAATCGCAGGCAGAGCCCTCAATGACCCACACCCACATACCAGAGGCAGCTCCCGGTGGAGTCGGAATCAGAACGTGGGCCTCCGTGCCACTGGGATGTGAATGCCAGCGGTGTGGCGGGGAGAAGGGACGGGGGAAGGGAGAGGGTCCTCACCCAGAAGCACCAGAGCTCTGTGTTCTGTTGCTGAGCCATCCTGCCATGTGCCTCTCAGGATCCCAGAGCAAGGAGGAAGGAAACGTGTCTGTCCTCCGGGCCGGCCCCCAAACCTGCCCCCTGCAGCACTCCCGCCAAGGAAGCCTGTGCCCAGGAGCCAGAACCCGTACCTGAAAGTGGCCCTTCTGGCAGGCCAGGTGGAGCGGGACGGCTTGGTTCACATTTCTGGCACCTGCGTTGGCACCATGCTTCAACAGGAGGGGGACGAGGTCCGCCCGACCGTGCAGGGCAGCCACGTGCAGTGGGGAGAAGCCGTCCTGGTTGGTCACATTCACACCGAGCCCACTGGCGGGGATCTTTGCCAGCTTCTAGTAAAAGCGGAGGATGGAGTCAGAGATGTCATCAGTATTTAAGAAACTGGGAATTGAAGCCAGGCGCCCCCCCACCATCCCTGTGCAAAATTTGGGGTCATGGTGGGATCCAGAATCAGGTGGCCCACAGGTGAATTCCTACAACTGGAGAAAGGTAAGATATCCCAAAGGAGTAACTTCTATTTTCAAGAGACCAACCCCCTGAAATGACACCTTATTTATGCCAAGGCAGTTTAACGGGAAACAGAAAGTCTGTTCAACAAACGGCGCCGAACTACTGGATCCCCACATACGGAGAAAGTGCACATCAGCCCTTACTCCACCACACAAGAACTATAAACGCCTCATGGACCTAGATGTGAGAGCCACGACTGTGTCGTACTTCACTTTCCTGGAGTTAATGCATGAGGAAATCCTTGCAACACTGGGATGAGCAAAGATCTCTTAGGGAAGACACAAAAAGCAAAAACCATAAAGGAAGAGTTTGACAAGCTGGTTTTCAATGGTTCTTCTTGGAAAGACACAATTAAGAAAATGAAGAGGCAAGTCACAGAGTGGGAGAAAATATCTGCGTTATGTAGGTCTGATGAAAGAGGTGCGCCCCACCAGAATTTTTTTTTTTTATTTTTTTATTTTTTTCAACGTTTATTTATTTTTGGGACAGAGAGAGACAGAGCATGAACGGGGGAGGGGCAGAGAGAGAGGGAGACACAGAATCGGAAACAGGCTCCAGGCTCTGAGCCATCAGCCCAGAGCCCGACGCGGGGCTCGAACTCACGGACTGCGAGATCGTGACCTGGCTGAAGTCGGACGCTTAACCGACTGCGCCACCCAGGCGCCCCCCCACCAGAATTTTAAAACAACAGGTTCTTACAACGCAATTGGACAATCCGACGTTAAAAAAAAAATAGGCAAAAGATCTGGGGGGAGAAAATCTGTATTTGTATCATGGAGATACTGTGCACTGTGCCGGTGGTTAGACGACCATGTGTTTGTCAAGCCTCATAGAGCTGTTTGCTGCTTAGCTCCATCGTTCGTCATTTTTATCACGAAACTACCTTATGAGTCGCAACGGTTTTAAAATCAATCATGCCAATGTAAGGACAATCAACTAGCAATTTCTTCTTGAGAGTGAGAGCGCATGCATGCACACAAGCAGGGGAGGGACAGATAAGGAGGGAGAGAGAGGATCCCAAGCAGGCTCCATGTTGTCAGTGTAGAGACTAATGTAGGGCTCCGTCCCACGAACCGTGAGACCATGACCTGAGCCAAAATCAAGAGTTGGACACTTGACTGATTCAGCCACCCAGGAGCCCCTCAATCAATAATTAGCAGGACAAACAAGGGGTGCCCAAATGGCTCAGCTGGTTGAACGTCCGACTTCAGCTCAGGTCATGATCTCAGGGTTCGTGAGTTTGAGCCCCATGTCGGGCTCTGTGCTGACAGCTCAGAGCCTGGAGCCTGCTTCCCATTCTGTGTCTCCCTCTCTCTCTCGGCCCCTCCCCCTGCTCATGCTCCATCTCTCTCTCTCTCTCAAAATAAATAAACATTAAAAAAAAAAAGGACAAACATTTATAAACCATATAACCGAAAACAAACATTAAATTAAGATATCAAATCATACATTTTGATAATAAAATCATTATGTCAGCGTTTTATGTGACTGGCCAAGAATTAAAACTGGTTATCTAGTTCACTTTTTGCTGATTAAGACGGTTCTCTCTCAGAAAAACTGCATGCAAAGTTAGAGGGGTGAATTTTGCTGCATGTAAATTGTACCTCAAAACTAAAAAACAAACAAATGAAGGAACAGGGAGAAAAAACGCAATGAAATACCACTGCACACCTACAGGAGCGACTACAGTTAAAAAGTCACAAGGACATGGAGCAACCAGAACTCTCACACACCGCTGGCAGGAGTGGAAAATGCCATAATCACTCTGGAAAAATGACAGTTTCTTATGAAGTTACACATGCACTTACTACAAAAGCCAGCAATTATAACCTGAGGCATATACCCAAGTAAATGCATATTTATACAAAGACTTGTTCACAAATGTTTACACTAGCTTTCTTCACAAAGCCCAGAGCAGGGAACTACTCAAATGTTCATCAAGGGGTGATTAGATAAATTGTCATCTAGTCAACAAAACACTACCCAGCAATAAAATGAAATGAACCGCTGATCCAACATGGATCTCAAAACATTCTGCTGAGTGAAGGAAGCCAGGCTCAAAAGAGTGTGTACTGTCTGGTTCCATTCACACTAAATTCTAGAAAATGCCAATGAGCCTGTCATGATGGACAGCAGACCGGTGGTGCCTGGGACAGGGGAGGAAAAAAAAAGCAAGAGTTTCAAAGCAGCCCAAGAAAACCTTCAGAAGTGATGGTCATGTTCTGTATCTTGCTGTAGTAAAGGTTTTTAGGGTTTTTTTTAATGTTTATTTATTTTTGAGAGAGAGAGAGAG